GCACGTCACTTTCACTTTCAGTCACTTTCAATTTACTTCTGATTGTAAGATTATAAAAAAATATATTTCACGCAAGTATGAAAAAAAAGTTGTCTTGCTTTCCAGTATCATTAATAAGATGTATTACAATTGAAAGTGAGTTTACTGTTAAAACAAGAAAAAAAGAAATCTGCAAACAGGATAAAAAAAACACTTTAAGTTTTTTTCTATCCCATTAACCGATTTATTATATATATATATATATATATACAGTATATTAGTATTATATATATATATATATATATAATAGTATTATATATAAAAATTATTATGATTATCATAAATTATGCATGCTTTTACTCACCATAATAGTATACAGCCGGAGGATGCATCATCTAGAGGGGAAAAAACATAAAAACAATTATAAAAACAATTATGAAGCACAAAAGATCATTAAAAAACCACCCAAGCACAAAAACCATGGGTAAGGTCTAAAGAGCTGTATAAAATAACATTTAAAAGCCTATCAATAAGCCTAAAGCCTATCACAAATAATATATAGACAGCTTGCTCAAACATTAACATAAAACAGAGAATATAGACTTCCACTTGACAAAGTCCCTGCAACAACAGTGTGACAACTAGCCCCGATCGCGCTAAAAACACATTAGATCAACAGCCCAAAGTCCTGGTTTCTGTGATTTTTATCAGTTTTGTTACATTGGACACGTCTCAAAACAATCTGTCTTTCTCAATCAGTGCAGTAACGTTTTGTTTTAGTTAACACGCCTAAACTCAGCTCTGAAGCTCTATGATGAGAAAGCATCATGACAGCTCATGAAGGAGATTGAATAGAGAAGTTACATACGGCAGCCGCTCAGCTTTAATCAGAGCTGGCAGTGATGAAGCATGTGCAGCAGGAGCTGGAAACTCCGCGTCTGATCTTTGAGCACACAAAGGCCCGGTTTCACAAACGGGGATTAGCTTAAACCAGGACTAGGTCTTAGTTAAATTAAGATATTTAAGCAACTTTTACAAAAATGCCTTAGAAGAAAACATTACAGGTGTGCATCTTGACACAGAACAATGACTGACATATTTTAAGATATTCTAATCTAAATCTAAGATATTTTCAGTTGAGACAGCTCAAACATGCATTTTAGTCTGGGACTAGCTTAAGCCTTGTCTGTGAAACCGGGGGTATATGTGGCCAAATATAGATTTTTGGGAATGCTACTGTCAGCTAGTGATGTTAGGTTCTTGAACGAATCGTTCTTTTGAGCCGGTTCTCAGGAAGTAACCGGTTGAGCCGGTTCACAAATCGAATTGAATCGAACTTTAGTTCTGGGTTGATGACGCAGGACGCACAGCCGAAGTAGCACGTCCAACTCAAAAAGAACCGAATGAGCCAGTTCAACCAACTGTTGAAGTTTGCCGAGGATTACCGAGGACTCAACAAGAACCGAATGAGCCGTGGCAAAGTTTGCCGAGGATTACCGAAGATTCTGATGAGTTGACGATACTGTGCAAGCCTGATGCACGTACTGGAAATATGCTTATTATGACTGTTATTAATTTACATTTTATTAAAACCTGCAAAAACCTTTCTTTAGGAATCTTATCCAAGTTGTAGGCTAGTCAATATTGGTCAGTCAGTCGTATCTGAGGATCCGCGAAGGAAAACTGTGACCACAAACACAATTAACTTAAGTGAATTATATGGCAATAATCAGCAATATGCTTTCACACAAATAACTTTATTTTTGAATGTTTCAATATGTGTTGACACAAATTACTTATTTGAATTTTTCATTGATACAAGATGGCACTGAGTTGTTAGAAAAGAAATGCGTAGATACGTTATTGCTTGATGATGTCAGGAACCGATGAATCGGCTTTTTGAACCGGTTCAATGAGCCGATCTGTCCGAAAAGAACCGGTTCGCGGAAATGAATCGGACTTTGCATCACTACTGTCAGCCTTGTGTTCCTCTGTCTTGTGTTTTGCCCCCCATGTGCTCCCCATTACCCAGTTTCTCCCTTGTTGATTATGTTCATTGATGTCAGGTGTTCCTCGTTTAGTTCTAGTTATTTAAGTCCTGGTTTTTCCTGTGTCCTGCGTCTAACGTCAAACCCCTGTGCTACGTGTGTGTTTCTGCTGTTTAGTCTTTATTTGGATGAATAAAGATTGTTCCTTGTGTTATTCCCCGTCGTCTCCGCGCTCCTCGTTACTCACAGTAGCGAATCGTGACAGCTACAGTTCTAAAGGGGATATTAATACATATTGAAATGAGTGATTTTTTGCAAGAATTCATCTTAATTTTCATTAGTGGTATTTGCTAAGCAATCAGTATCATTATTACTCATACTTGGAGATGGAGTTTTGAAAAAATCCCTAACATAAAGTATTACTCTTTACAGTGCAACTCAGAGCATTTTGTGCTCCAGACATGAATGATTTCTCAAATCACATCTCTGTTGAAGAGAGGTGCGCTAGTGCTTTCTAAGCTGCTGGATTTTCACCTGTCAGACGATAAAACAGCAGAGAAAATCCCACAGACTGACACTGAAGGAGCTGCCTAGCTAACGGGGAACATTCTCACAACTTTCACTAATGTTTTTAAAAGTTATATAAATGTTAGGACAAAACATTATTAAAGTAATGTTTATGGAACATTCTTATAACATTATTAATATTTGATGTACATCCTCATAATGTTGAGAAAAATATCTTTCTAAACACTCTCATGACATAATTTTTATTTTATATAACGTTGAGAGAACGTTCTGAGATCAACATTCTTTGAACATCCTTATCATGTTATTTGTACTTAAACATCCTCAGTGTTGAGAGAAAACGTTATTAAGAATAAAATGAGTATTATAATAAACGTTATATTTGGGGTGAAAATAAGGTTTAAAGAATGTAGTAAGAAACAATTTAGTAACCTTTAAATAACGTTCTAATTATAATTAGAAAACTGGACATTTTAACGTTATTAGAGTATTAAAAATAAATAAATTAAATAAAGTTATATTTTGGGTGAAAATGATGTTATAAGAAATATTTTTTGTGACTTTTAAATAATGTTATAATCACGAAAAGTTAAATCATGGACATTTTAACATTTATGTAATATTTAAAAACAATGTTCCCACAATGTTTCATAACCTACATTTGTCACCTGGGTATGTCAGCCATTTCTATAGACCAAAATATAATAGAGAGACCGCACAGCAAAACACAAAAAACAGTGAAAACTGACCAACCACATAGCAACACCCTGGCAACCACCCACTGTAGTGTTTGAATGTGCAAGAACTACTCATATTTCCTTCATAAAACATCAAAATGTAGTCAATAAATATTATTACATTATACAAATCTCAACAGATCATTAGTTAATGTACATTCAGAGAGCTGCCATGAAACTTTGATTGATATATTTCCATGCATAATCATATTTGAATGTACTTGAGCTAATGATCTGTTAAGTATTATTATAATGTTTGTTAATGACTTCTTAATGAAAGGCAGATCTTTAAGAAGATCATTTGCTTATGCTAATGAAAGGTTAAGAAGATCATTTGCTTATGCAGAGCCGTTCTATGGAAAACTGCAGGGAAATAATCTTTAATCTTGATAAATTAATCCATAAATAAATGTTTGTGATATGATACATGAATATATATATATATATATATATATATATATATATATATATA